GGGATCGTGTGGCGCGCCGACCACCTATAAATGAGCTATGGTATTGAGATAGTTTCGTCGTTATATCCGTTGGTCTGTGTTCGCTGTATTTTTCCCCGAGCATGCCCCCTTCCCCTTTTTAGTTGATATTCTCTGTTGTTATTTCTGTTGTTTTTTTATATATATATGTATATATATATATATATATATATATATATATATATATATATATATATATTAATTATTTTATTTAACTATTGTATGAAAGTTGAACAACATTGTATAAAATTTATATTTAAGTTGTATGATATTGTAGTTGTATATAACTGAGTAGACATAATTATGGAAATTGTAGATAAGTTGTAGATAAGTTATATAATATATAATTAGTTGTATGAAATTTGTTTATACTATATATAAATCAGATACAAAAATATAAAAGACATATTGTATAAAATTTGTATTTAAGTTGTATGTTATTGTAATTGTATTTTATTGGGAAGAAATAATGTGTGAAAGTTGTAGATAAATTGTATAATGTATAATTAGTTGTATAAAATTTGTTTTTACTGTGTATAAAATTAGTTGTATAATATTCTTGGAAAACCCAAGTTCAATGTTAGTTCATTCTTCTTGAATATCTTATATTTCAGATCCCACATTTATTTAGAGAAAGTCATACACCACACTGATTATAGTGATGTTAAATTTCTCATACCCATATACTCTTTTGAGCTCCTTTCCTTTCTTTTTTGTTTTGATTATTTTTGATTTTTTCTAAATTATTTTTCTATTCTTTTCTACTCAATTACACACATATAGGAGCCATGTGATCTGATCTTTGAGAAGATCAAACCATGATGCGGACCGTACAATAGCGTTAAGCTTCTAGGGATAATTTTGGTTCCTGATGGCCCCCTTCTATTATTTTTTTTTCTATTAATAGATTCATTTTATCTTTGAATATTTTATATTTGAATTACTCTCACATCTGAAATACAGGGAATGAGTAGTGATCGGTAAAGAAGGATGGAGTGAAAAAGGATGCGATTATGAGAAGTTATTGGAGTGGGAGGTGTCTAGAAGATATAGTTATATTTAGTTTTTCAATTTTGCTACTTCTTAATTTATTCCAAATCAGCATGGATGATTGAAGGCATTGCCGATGATTGGAGAAAAATAAAGAAAGAGAAGAAGAGAAAAAAAAAAAAAAAAAAGGGTGTAACTAAATCCCTTGATTGGAGGCACAAATAATGGATTTGGGAGCCTTTTAAGGTGGATTATTGTATATATTTTGTAAACAAAACTTGTTTATGTCAGGTAATTAGCTAAACATGGACATTAAGGATAATAAAGTTTCAAATAGCGTATAGGAATGAAAAATCTCTTTTCTTAAAGATATTATCAAACCAGAAAAACGAATTAACATGATCCACCTTATTATGAATACTATGAGTGAATTTAATTTGACGGAAGTCATTTTCTTTTCCATGAAAAATATATTTTCCTGAAAACTCTATGTTCTAGGTATTTGATTGTTGAGTGAAACATTTTAAAAATCTATAATAATTTCAACACACCGAAGAGCATAATAAGTAACACTTTTGAGTTCTAAAGATTAATAATAGGAATTTCTACATTCCTATGCAACATAGGAAACCTTATTACCCTAAATGTTTAAGGTTTGACTTAATTACACTTAGTATACCAAATTACTAATTATATACCATAATTAATTGGCAATTTTTTACTCCTTAATTAAAGGTGTCCATATATCCCACGTTTCTCTCTCCCCTTAATTCCTAAGATCTGACCAGCGCTGTTTTCCCCCTCTCATTTCTTTCTCTTCTCCATTCCTTCTTCTTCTCAAAAAATACAGAGATGAGACCCATTTTTTATAATCAGATTTTTAGCCGAAGAGATTCAATATGAAACCCATTGTTTCGGTTATTGTAATTTCTGGTAATTGTCAGATATTGTTCTGAATTTTAACAACTACGAGATCGAGAGTAGATGTATGACACAGAAGACTTCCTCAATCGATCAATCAACAATTCTCAATCCTAAATTTGTGGAGTAGCCATATGAATCTTCTGTAACCTCCGACTCCATTTTGTCTATATTATTTCAATATTAAATAAATTATCTTTTTAGGCAATTTAGAGGTTCTTTAAAGGTAGAGATTCTTCAAGTGTCACACTTATCCGGCATTGACACACAAGTTCTTGACCAAATTAGAAAAAAACTTGGTTAACAAACATCTGACCCAATATAAGTGTGACAGTGTGGGTGCAATTGTAGTTTATTTGTAATTTTTTGTAGAAATTTTGTAGATGAAGAGCAAATTTTGTAGTTGACATTTTTTTTCAACATAAGATTGTAGGTTAATTATAGTATAAATGTAGTAATTTTGTAGATACCCTTAAAAATAATACAACTTTATACAATACTTAAACTGATTTGTAGTTTATTTGTAGTTTTTTTTGTAGAAATTTTGTAGATGAAGAGAAAATTTTGTAGTCAACATTTTTTGCCAACATAGATTATAGTTTACTTGTAGTATAAATGTAGTAATTTTATAGATACCCTTAAAAACAATACAACTTTATACAATACTTAAACTAATTTGTAGTTTGTTTGTAGTTTTTTTGTAGAAATTTTGTAGATAAAGAGAAAATTTTGTAGTCAACATTTTTTTCCAACATAGATTGTAGTGTAATTGTAGTAATTTTGTAGATACCCTTAAAAACAATACTGCTTTATACATATTTGAACTGATTTGTAGTTTTTCCCCCTCCCCTTAAACTGATTTGTATTTTGTAATTTTGTAGTTTTTCCCCTCCCCTTTCTTCATCTTCTCCATTCTTTCTTCTTCTCAAAAAATACAGAGATGAGACCCATTTTTTATAGTCAGATTTTCCCCATTCAATTTTTTTTAAGGTTAGTTTAATTGTTACTTTCTATGTTTAAATTAAAATAATTAAAATGGGTGGAATAATTTTTTTTGAAGAGAAAATTAAACTGAAAAAAGAAAGAAAGAAGAACTGAATTTTCCAAAAGAAGGTAAACAAGAAAAAAGGTAAAAGAACAAAAAATGAGGCGGCAAAAACGGAGAATTTCATGAGCAGAATATAGGCTTTTGTGTAAAATCAATTAGAATATTTTGTTTCCTTATTTGTAGCGCGCCTATTTAGGAAGATTCAACTACTAATAATTAGTAATTAATGAATGGTATAAAAATTATAGAAAAAATGTGGACAGAACGGGTAAATTAGAAAATATGCACATATTTGGCAATAAAGTTTCATATATGGTATAGGAAGGAAAGAATCCCTTAATAATAATGTATAAGTGTAATAATGTATAAGTGTTCCTTCAAGCAAATAATGCATAGTTAGCGTTCAAATAGTTATTGATAAACAAGTCGCCTATGCAAGCCTCCAATTAAGGGCACATTCTGGTTAACAAATTATAGAAAGAAGAAGTGGAAATTTTGGAAAAAATTAAGAAAAAGAAGACACGCATATGCACCAACTCATTACAGATCTTTTTATGCTTATGCAATGCAACCCTTTTTTGAAAGTATTCCATAGCAAATCTTGTTAGAGGATTTCTTTGTGCATGATTCCCTTTCTTCTCAGAAGAGTCAGGCGAAGGCAAAGGAAGTTGCAGATCCAAAGTCAACAGCAATGGTTAATCATACTCTAGCAGCATTACACATCGGTTCTCTAGCTTTTGTTATAATAGCTCTGCTTTGATTCCACTAACATTCTCGAATATACTGAAATATCTTCACTAATATATACTAAAAAACTCAATCACCTAATCTTATTCTGGTTTCTCTCTTGCATCTTCAGTTTCATAAACCTCAAAAATGCTTTGACTTGGTTTGCTTAGGGTCTAGTGTGCGTCTTCCTGTGAAAATGTTGGGTTTCGATGGTCCTGTTTCTTCATGAACCGCGAGGACGGCATCTTCAATAAAAAGTTTTGTTTAGTCAGATGAAAAGAATACCAGACAGATTCAGACATTTTGCACCCTTTTACTAACATTTTGTGTTCTTATTTCTTACCTTCAGACATGTCATTCTTGGCTACTGATTCAATATGTTTTGGGCATTTCCTCTTCGCTTTAGGTCCACAAGCATCAGCAATAGGCTCACTGTCGATAGAATGAAGTTTTCCTTTCTTTACAAAGATAAAAGATGGCTAAATTAGTAGTGGTAAACACAATGCAGAATCAGGCATGAGTATAGCAAGATAGCTCGTGCTCTAATTTCTTGTGAGCTCATCAATAAATATGAGGAAATTCACCATACCACAACAACTACTACTATTATTACGCCTCAATAGTGAAGTTTGGTAGGATGTATTAGGGAAACAATATAAGTATTAGTTTTGGTATTATTAATTCTTTGCTTGATAGTATTTTTCAACCTATGTATAACTAATATACACTCTGGGGTGAGGTATTAGAAAAAATAATGCAAGCATTAGCTCTATGCATTATTAATACCTTGTTTGGTACATTTTTTCAACCTGTGTATAATATTAGTTATACATCATACTTGGTATTATCCTATGTATAAGTAATGCATAGAAAACCATGGCATTAGTAATACCAAGGCTATTAATGCATGCATTAGTATGTTTTAAGACAAATATGTCCTTAAAGTCCCTTAAAGCTAGAGAATATGGAGGGCATTTTTGTAAATAACTATTTTTTTTTTAAAAAAAAAAATTATGGAATGCATTATAATTTTAATATACCACACCAAACAGTAGATAAGAAATAATATTTGCATAACTAATGCTTGCATTACTAACCCATGCATTACTAATACACCTTATTCCACACCATTCTTATACACCCTACCAAACGACCCCTTTATTCAGTACTATTCTTATACATAGCAAGCCATTGGTATTAGCAATACTATGGTTTTTAATACATGATCAATAAGCATGCATAAAGATAGAACTGCCACTTCAAAACCTTTTCTAAATTCTTTCTAAAGAATGTAGAAGGTATTTTTGTAAACAAATAATTTTAAAAAAAATTATGCAATGCATGTTATTTTTAATACACCAAATCAAACAGTCGATAAGAAATAATCTCAGGCATAACAACAACAACATACCCAGTGGTTTCCCCAATCGGGATATGGGGAGGGTGGTGTACGCAAATCTTACTCTACCTTGGGAGGGCAGAGAGACTATTTCCGGTAGACCCTCAGTTAAAGAAAATAAGAAAAAAAATAACTACAACAAGTAGTAACAACAATAAGATATTATAAAAACCGACGCGAAAGATACAATCAAACAGTAAGTACTAATAACAATTCAAGAATCAAAGTATACCATACTAACACTAATACTACCGGTAAGGGGACGAAAAGGAGAACCGCTCGACTACCTACTAACCATCATAATCTTTGACCTCCACACCCTTCTATCAAGAATTATTGAACACACCCCATTCAGTACTATTCTTATACATCCTACCAAAAACGACCCCTTAGTATGGTAATTTCTAAGGAGGATACTAGCTATTTCGAGATATAGTCAATGACGAATACTGATGTTTATATTGTTTACAACAACAACCCAGTAGAATCTCACATGTGGGGTCTGGGGAGGATAATGTGTACACAGACCTTACCCCTACTCCGGAGGAGTAGAGAGGCTGTTTCCGATAGACCCTCGCCTCATGACAGTGGAGCAGCAACAACAAAGGAAGCCAGCAAGATAGCAACGTAATAGCCAGAAAATAGAAAGAAAAGCAATAACAATAAGCAGATGTTTATATTGATTAAGATATAGTATACGTTAAAAAAAAAGAGAGTAAGGGTTCTTAAACAAATAAACTAAAGGAAACGACACCATACACACCTTCAGATGATCATTCAAAAGGGACATGGGCAATTTGCTTTCATTCAATATAACATTGTAGTTACTGGAAAGCCGATTTTGGATCTCTTCTCTAAACAATTCCAATTTCTTCTGACAGATCACCCGAGTATTGACTGTAAAGGCCGAAAATCATATCCTTATTCAGACGTATCAATATAATTCTTTCATACACGAAACAAAATATCCATTATGAGCAAATTAATCCGCCAGATGTATAATAATAAAACATTAATACTGCCTGCATGCCAGTTAATGTAAAACTTTTCACTAATAATGTCAATTTGACCAACACTAGAATTGATTGAATAGTTTAAACCAGATTTAGATGCAGTACTTATATATAGGAATAGAACATACTGAACCAGCGGGGATCAGGTTGTATCCGCGTTGAAGGAAGCTTCTTCGACTGTAAATCGTGCTTTATGATTTTGCCCTTATGGTCACGCTTCGGCCTGCTATTATACATCTTTAGCCGCCGATTAGTGGCGGCACTACGTTGAGTTTTCTTCTTCGCCATTTTGATCGTGAAAATATAAATGAGGCTTTTTGTAACCCTTATAAAATATTAGTACGGCTGCGCAGGGAATGCAAACTGAATATACCCAAGTTATTCATTTTGTTCTGGAAATTACACAAAGCGCTTCTACCTTTGGCTTATTTATCTTTTTGCATCCTAGATCTTTTCATATTTGCTCTTTTTTCTCAGGATACCCTGATTTTTGGAATTGTTCGACTTTGGAGAAATAAATTACTAATCAATAGAATCAAATGAGGGGAACATGAGAATATAAAAAAAAGGTAACAAATGGAATGCTCAAAATCGGAGTGATAAAAGTCTTCTTACGAACTTATTGCCATTTATACCTTTTGTTTTTGTTTGCAATGTAAATTCATCTACAGTGAACAATATACTTTCGTAATTTTTTCAAATTAAGATATCTTAAGTATTTTCTTATATTTACATTCAATGAAAGAATTGTATAAGAAAGGGCACGGAAATATTTCGTAAGTTATCAACAAAAGATATAAATGAAAAATAAGCACGAGCACGATATCTTGTAACTTCATTAACTCATCCTCCCATCCTCCATTTTCTTTTATCTTATAGAATGGTTCACAATTTGCAATAAACAGAATTCACGTTTGTTTAAAAAAAAATTATACTTGGCAATTGAGTTCATAACAAGTTGAAATACTTATTTTGGAATTCTTTCGGTGGGACATGAACTTGTCTTTTGGATTTGCACAACTTTTAGTAAAAATTTTTTATTTTTATTTTTTGCTGACTCGCTTCCCCATTATGCTTGTAGCACCAAAATCACCAATACTTGATGTTTCAGTTTCTCATATTAAAGGTTTCATGCATCAGTTATTGGTAAGAACAGAAAATTGACAATTTATTCTCACCTGCTGATAGTTTTAACTTTTTTTTTCCTCCCTCTAGATTTCTTGCATCAGAAGACTATTGGATATAGGAACTAGAGCTACTTCGATAATGCTAGAAGGAGAAAATTATAAAGCAATCGCCTTTTAAATTCTGGTTCATCTATGCGACATTATAGTTGTGAGTGTCAAGCAGAGCACCTTTCCTTTTGCTTCAGAGTGAGGAATGACTATGCTAGCAGTAAAATACTAGCAATGGCAATGCTACCCATTGCTATGTTGTAATGGCTCTGCTTCGACTCCTCTATACATTGTCAAACATAGTGAAGTATCTTCTAATTTACTAAGAAGCTGAGCTACCTAATCTTCTTTTGGCTTCTTTCTTGCATCTTCAGTTTCAGTATCATGCAACAACCTGAACTTAAGTATCTTATGAAGCTGTGTTACAGGCTTGACTTGCTTGGACTCGGTTTCCTTAGGGTCTAATATGCGTCTTCCTGGCAAATGGTTGGATTCAGATGGTCCCGTGTCTTTATGAACCATGGAGGGAGCATCTGCAAAAAGAAGTTTAGCTTAATGATAAAATTCCAGATTGATTCAAATATTTTGTGTTTTTTTGTTCTTCCAGCTAATTTGACCATCTATTCATTATGTTTGAGCATCTAGATTTCCAGCAGAAATTGAAAGCCCATGGAAAATGTGTGACATGCAAAGAGGCTTAAGTTCCAGAAGAATTATCCTCAATTCATATGTACCCAAGAAAGAAAATTCCACGGTTCACAGTCTGCAATGTGCCTAATGTTGTCTCAATGACATTCATATACACCAGGGCAGCTAGAGTCAGAGTTCCACCACAAAACACCACATTTAGAAACAATAACCTAATCTGCATCCCAAGCAGCTGTGTGGTAGAAACACACAATGGAGCCCCCTATTCATGGATAAACTTTTTTTTTTTTGGGGGGGGGGGGGGGAGGGGGGGGGGGTTGGCGGCTGAGGATGAGACAGAGGGAATATGTTCAGATTTTGCAACACCCGCAGCAACACTGAAGCTAGATTAAGATAATCAGATAAATATCTCATGCCTTCCAAAAATTTTCAAAAATCTCTTGTACTCTCAATAAAATATGTTGGTACAGACTACAGAGGAGCGTGGCTCACCACTTTCACTAAATACAAGGCATGTCCCAATAGTCTCATCATACTGTCCAATCTGCAAAATAGAAACAAAGACCAATTGTAATAGCATATACACAGAGAGAAAAGTTGAGAACTATGATAGCAGGGACTAGATGGAACAAATGTTATTACAAAGATAACATGTCCAAAAGAAACAACATTTTGTGATGTGCAACCAGAATTATTACACCCACCATCCATTATATCTACTTTGTTTAGAATGATCTCAACTAAAGAATCACCAGAAATAAGTGGGGTTGAAACAGATAAAATATGTTGGTATCCCCTTAATGGTGTAAGTGGGCATCAAGATGTTTGACCACTGTAACGACTAATGCCACTACAAAGATATAGAACTTGATAAGAATGTGGTAAGCATGATTATAAAGTTCACACAAGTTTTGGACTTGACTCGGCCAATGAAGCCAACTATACTGGTGCAGATAAATTATAATGTCACAGGAAGGGAAAACTAAGCTGTTTCCAAAATCATCAACTCACCAGCTTGATTTTGCCATCAATGGTCAAGATGGGATTCAATGTGTCAAGACCCTGAGAAAAAAAATTGTAGGAAATAATCAATTTTAATATTCTCATAAAACTTAAAAGCACAACGAAAAAACCTAGTTGCAAAGACCTATGGAACAGTTGAAAACCATGAGTATCTGAAGAGTGAAGAGAAATAAAAAGAAGGGGTTACACTTCAGTTTGAATCCATAAGAAAAATTAAATTAAAGCAATTAACTAAAAAGTAAACTTGGGCTAGAAAATCGTACAGAGAGAACATATGGTGCATTTGGAGGAATGTGAACTTCGGAGGAAATGCCATCCAAATCAAGCAATACATACTCTGCTTCCTCCTCCTCCACCATGTTATTGTCACAAAGCGATTGGTTTCCCATCATTCAGCGCCAGCAGAAATAAAACCACCAAGAAGCGCAATAGATGTTACACGCTGCCGCAGCAAAAGAGAAAAGCTGAAACGAGAAAAGACAAAGAGTAAACAGATGACGATGAAAACCCTAATTTTTCATTGTACTACAACTTTATATGTCCACTAGTGGTGGCTAGTCCATGCCGAGCTCAATGCAAAACCTAAAAAATACAGATTTGATGTTTAAAGCATGTCCATTGGTGTGGATAAAATTTTGCTATACTACTTGAAGTTTGGTGCACTTATTTATACTTTTTCCTCACAGAACATGACTCTTAATTGCCAACCAGTAATACCACCTTTTTGACAAACCTCTAGATTGCAGGGATTCTCTTTTTCTTTTTTATTGGATGAAGAGAGCAATAACCTAGTTAAACCAAATAAGGACCTGCTCCCTAATACCATATAAAAGCAGATAACATCAGTCACGAGAACATTAAATTATTACCTGAGCAGGGTCCATTTCAATCGAGCAAACTTCTTTATCTTTAGTTAGACAGAGTAATGTGATGTATAAAATGATACGTTTTGGTACATTTTAGCAGCACTTAAAGAGCTTCTCGCAAATTTAATATTGAAGTTTCTCTTATTTATGTGAAAAATACAAAAGGTATGAATGGTTTAGTTCAATTCATACCTGTTGAACAGGAAGCAAAGGCAGTTGTTAGTATTTCCTCATAGGTTTCCCCAAGTATACCACAACTGAAGCTAGCATTGTTGCGAGATAATGCTGGATTTATCATGAGAAGTTCCATCATAACTAAGTTGTGCGATAGAGTAAGGTTCAATATTGAAAAAATTAACACATATATAATAAACACTCATAGTTGTTCCAATTATGTCAGCTACAATTTGAGGCAGCTCATCTATTCCTCCAAATCCATCCAGAAACATATAGGATTAGAGGAGACAAAGTAGGACTTCTCATTGCTGCTTCAACTTTGAGCAAACAACTTTACACTGATTAATGGAAAGACATGGAAACAGAATTACCAACTGAAAGGAAAAATAATACACACTCCTTTCTTGCATCTATTTAGCACAAGAAAAATGTGATACCAGCCCAAGAAATAGCAGCTTATCAAGCCCAAAGAAGAGCTAGTAAGCTACTTTTAAATGGCATGCGAATGAATTGCACCTCTTTAGGAGTATTCAAAACCAATCAACACAAGTGGTCCCTGCAGGAGACATTAATCAAATACATAAAGAAGGAATATTACTGTATCACCATCGCAAATGATTACTAAGTGAAGGCAGTAACCTTTCATTATGATAGTTAACTAAAGACCCCACTTAATCAACTTGTACACCACCTATTTTCTCAATCATCTCCTAGAATGTACTCTTTGTAAGCTAGATCGCCTAGGATTCAAGCATACAACTCCCAGATATTCACAAACAAGTAACTTCAATAACGCTAATATTGGAGCTTCATACTGTTTCCAAGGCCAAGGAAGAAGAACAAAGCATCCATAAACTTTTCAGAACTATAAAAAGAAATCTACAGTAGAGCCCAAATAAGGCAAAACCATAAGAGTCAGCCATTCCATTGGCACAACATAAGCCACCATAATCAGAGAGATTGTTGGCCAGAAAAACTTAACTCAGCTTTTCATCAATTGATCACCTCCTATTTAGATGTATTTAATACAAACAATAGGCTTCATACATATTATACTTTGTAAATTCCCAAAACGATGAAGAGAAATGTAAATTAGAGTCAAATAAGGCAAAAGCATAACAGCCAGCCTTTTAATAAAATAAAGTATTGAACCTCTCCAATTACAGTTACATGCTCTATTCAATTTTATTCCTATGCGCTTAACATCCCTGAAGGATTATGTTTCAAAAAACTTATGCAATCTTTTTTATTCTGAATGTTAGTAATGTTTTAGTCAACGAACTTGTGTTCTGACAATAATTTTCATTAGGGAACACTATCCCCGTGCAAATTCAGCAAGCCTCAAATAAGACAAAATTAATTTTCCAATCTCCTTTTATGCCGTGGTTCACAACGACAAAACCAAACCCCTTGAACACTTAAGCAACCGAAATCCCAAATCACACCAATTTCCCAAGCCATAATCCAAATCAAGTCTGGAAAGTTCAATAAAATTTGTCAACGGTGATCACTTTTTTTTAATGGAGTGTTAAAGAAGAAAATACTTAGCTCATCTCGTGTTGCCATGCATCTAGTTTGAAACCTTAAAAAAGACAGCATCAATATAAATTTTTAGCAAAACTAAGTCTCACCTCACATGGAAGTATTATGCAGCGCTAACAGGGGAACAGCAGGAGGAAGAATAATAAACGACCAAGCAGGCGCAAAGAGAAAATCAAACTGGCAAAACAGAGTAAGGAAGAAGATTCACAATAATCAGAAGAGCGCAGGGCAAAGCTGAGTGAAAACCTGGGTAAAGAACAGCGAAGTTCTTTTTGTTTAGGGATATACTCCCATAGCACGTGTGGTAGGTTAAAAAATAATTATAATTTTCCCAAAATATCCCTGACGACCCCAAGTTAGGAATGCGACTTATCAGAAATGCGTGCCTAAAATATTGCCGGGCCCGTGCACTTCTTTTTTTTGTTTTTTTTTTTTAACGCAAAACGGAGATTATATTAAAAAAAATACAAGGTTACGTAGATATAATATAGTTCCTTAGAACATTACTGTTGCCCAGAGCTACTAGATAGTTACAAACTGTAGAAGGCAGAAACTTAGTATTATTACATATTCCATGCCTGTTGGACGAGCATGGTAAAAACACTTAGTAGAGGACAAGTTCTTAACAACTTCATTGGCTAAAAGGTGTGCCACTTTATTTTTCTATGAAGTTATGTCTCAAAGGTGGGAGCTTCAACTTGTGCATTAGTAACCTGCATTCATGAACAACGTTAGAAAGATAACAATTGTCTCATATATGAGCTTGACGATATCCGTAGAGTCTGTTTCAGTTTCCATTTTGTGGAAATTCATTTCTCTTGCAATCTTTAAACATTCTTGTAAAGCCATTAATTTCGCATGCGTGGGAGATGTTGCATGGCCTGCTTTATGGAACCCCACGATCCAGTCTCCATTGCTATTTCTGAATATTCCACCTAGACCGACTGCCATAGTGTTTTTTGAAAAAGCACCGTCTATATTTAATTTAACCGTACCAGTTGGTAGTTTGTCCCACTTTATATCAATCTTTATCTTATGAATTTTGAAAGGATTTTTTCCTTAAAAAAAATTAAATTCCCAAGCTTGTTGAATAACTTTTTGGACCTCAAGGTCAAGATCAAGATTGTTGAAATTATTGTTACTCCCATTTTTCCAATTTTCAGATGGAGAAAGGAAATAAGGTTTCCCAACTTATTGAATGGTTATTGTTCTGAATGAAAATCTCTTTTAGGCCCATAAGCCAATGGAAGTTCTTATCAATAGTTTGAGTCGGGATGCCCATATTGTTCCAAAAGCGTTTGGTAGCAGGGTAGTGGAGAAAGATATGTTGGATAATTTCCACATTCTCCTTACAAATCGTACAGGTTGTATCAATCTTAATGTCAATATGAGCTAATAAGGCTCGACAAGGTATACGATTATGCTTGCATTGCCAAAGGAAGAATTTGATTTTGTTAGGGCAGGGAGGTCCCAAATCCAGCTAAAAGAGATACTTGGGGTGTAACTAGGAGTTAAAAGTTTGTAGGAAGACTTCGTAGTAAATAAACCATTTAAATTTGTGTTCCAACTGATAATATCTTTCTTAAGAGCTTTACTAGGTATAGGAGTTAAAGCAATCTTATTAATAATATCGGAGGGCAAGTTGAAAAAAATACCTGAGATATTCCACTCATCTTTCTTAATAAGGTCTTTAATGAAAAGATTTTGATCATCCTTACTAAGAGGTCCATATATGAAATTTTTAAGGGAATTTGAGTTGTAAATTCATTTTGAGGACCAGATATTAATTTTGAAGTTTGTACAATAGTGCCATAATATGCCATCATTACACACTTTCCATCCTTTAAGGATAGCCTTCCAAATGAAAGAATTAGCATCGACTTTTTCCAGGCATACTTTGTAAAAATGAGATGTGTCCAAGGTGTATTAGGGTTTTTCAAGAGCCTCCAGGTAAGACTTGTTAACAAGACCATATTTTTGGAATATGCTGAGCGTATACCAGGACCACCCTCATCTTTATCCCTCGTAACCATCTGCCAATTAACAAGATGTAGTTTTCTAGCAGAGTTAGTGGATCCCCAAATAAAATTCCTTTGTATTTTATCAATTTGTTTTAGGATTTTGGTGGGGAGTAAGGTGTATTGCATAGAATGAGGAGGAATGACACTTACGGTACTTGTGACGACCCAAAGGGTCATCACGTATTTCCTCATCCATTCCGTGCTTTCGAGGCCTTAAAACCTCATTTTTTTTTACTTGCCTCGATTTGCGTGCGCAGTCCGGACGCGTAGCGGAAAGCTGTTATGTTGAAATATGTGAATTCCGTGAAAAATTTGAAGAATTTTAATATTAATATGATTATAGTTGATTTTGGTCAACATTTTTGGTAAACGGACCCGGACCCGAGATTGGACGGTCCCGGAAGGTCCGTAGAAAAATATGAGACTCGGGCATGTGCCCGGAATCGAATTCCGAGGCCTAGAGCCCGAGCTATGAATTTTTCCGTGAAATTATTTTTCTGAAATTATTAAGGAAAATGGAAATAAAAATTGATTAAAAGACTATGGTATCGGGCTCGTATTTTGGTTCCGACGCCCGGTACAAGTCTTAAATATGTGTTAAGCGCTTTTTGTAAAGTTTGGTCGAAATCGGACGTCGTTTGACGTGTTTCGGACTATAAGTTCCAAGTTTGAAAGTTTATGAAGTTTAGAAGAAAAATCATGTGTTTTGAGGCTTGATTCAATGATTTTGATGTTATTTTGGCAATTTGATCGCACGAACAAGTCCGTAGGATGTTTTTGAGGTTGTATGCATGTTTGGTTTGGAGGCCCGAGGGCTCGGGTGAGTTTTGGATAGGCATCGGATTGCATTTCTCATGTTTTAAAAATCTGGTATGCTGGCTTCTGCAATTTTCGCAAATGCGAAGGGAAGACTCGCAATTGCGAGCTCGCAAATGCGAGCATTGCTTCGCAATTGCGAAGTTTGGGAAAATGGGCACTGTCGCAAATGCGATCAACACTTCGCAAATGCGAAGTCTGGGGAAAAGGCTTGGGATCGAAAATGCGATCCATTGGCTCGCAAATGCGAGGTGGCCCTGGTCGCAAATGCGATCGAATGTTCGCAAAAGCGAAACCTGGCCACCAGACATGGGTTCGCAAATGCGAACTAAGAATGTCGCAATTCCCAGCCCTGTTTTGTTCGCAATTGCGAACCATGGTTCGCAATTCCCATATCCGAGGCCCAGCAAATTTTATACTTAGTCGAATTTTCATCACTTTTCACCATTCTTTCAAAACCCAAACACCATAGGCGATTTTTCAAGAGCAAACTTCATCCCAAATCATTTGTAAGTTGATTTTTACTCAATTCTTTCAACTTTTAACATCATTAAACATGTTTTCCACTTGAAATCAAGGATTTTCATGGGTGAAATTGGGGTTTTTGGGTGGAACCTAGGTTTTCCATAAATTGGGGAGTTGGACCTCGATTTAAGGTCCGATTTCAAAATAAATTATATATTTGAACTCGTGGGGGAATGGGTAACCGGATTTTGGTTCGAACCTCGAGTTTTGACCACGTGGGCCCGGGGGCGATTTTGGAATTTTTGGGAAAAACTTGGGAAACTCATTTTTTATGCATCCAAATTGATTCATATAATGTTTATTAAAGTAATTGAGCAATTTGTGATTAGATTCGAGCGAATTGGAGGTGGAACCGCGAGGTAAAGCGATAGTTGAGGATTAAGTGGATTTCAAGGCTTTGAGGTAAATGTTTGGTTTAACCCTATCTTGACGGAATAGGAGTTGAGTCTTGTTGCTAACTGCTATGTGATCGAGTACGATGTATAGGCATGGTGACGAGTATCTATACATTGGTGTCTAGCATGACCGTGAGTCCTTATAATGTGATTATCATGAACTTATTGTGAATTTCATGTTTATTGGAGTATTTCCATATATTGTGAATAACATGTGAATGGTGATATGATAATTTGATTCCTAGGAGCATTGGCTCGAACTGTGATACGAATATTGAAAGTATATGAAATGACTTGATTCATTGAGGAGCGTCGGCTCCAGTTGTAGAACGAATTGCGAAAGTATAAGTGGTAATTGAACCTCTGGAGCATCTGCTCGAGTCGTGAAAAAGAATTATGAAGTAAAAGCGAGAAAGAGGAGAGATCATTATGTTGCCCTCTTGGCGGGCTATTGTTGGGTTGTGATTCCTCTGCACTGTGTTCTTAACGGATACTAGGGTCGCTCAGGTTAATGTTTCCTTGTGTCATATGATGACTATAGTTATAGATGGGTTGGTTGGGTGTGGTAGTAGGTTAGATATAGCTGAGGTGGTCAAGTGTGGTAATAGGTTGGTTATAGCTGTGGTAGTTAGATGTTGAAACTAATGTGGTGGTTAGATGTTGGAACTAATGTGGTTATAGTAATCCCCTTGCCAGAATATTTGAGATGATGTTTTGTTCCCTCACTGGGAAGTCGTTATATTGTTGTTTGTGACGGAATATGAGATAAGAAATTTCTTGGAGCTTGGGCTCCAGTGATATCGTGAGATAAGAAAAGTAAGAAAGAGAAAACGTTGTTGATTATTCCCTTGCCGGGACGTCTGGTTGAACTTGTTGGATTCTTTCCCTTGCCGGGATGTTTGTCAAATGTTTACTTATTTTTATGCCCCTTAATTGTGACTGTTGTTTGGGGAGTCGGACTGTTAAATGATATTGAGGATCGGGTTGCACGCCGCAACAATAATATGTGAGGGTCGGGTTGCACGCCGCAACAATGATATTGAGGGTCGGGTTGCACGCCGCAATAATGATATTGAGGATCGGGTTGCACGCCGCAACAATAATATGTGAGGGTTGGGTTGCACGCCGCAACAATGATATTGAGGATCAGGTTGCACGCCGCAACAGTAAAAGGTGAGGATCGGGTTGCGCGCCGCAACAATGATACATGATAAATCATATGGGTCGGGTTGCATGCCGTAACAGTGGTAATTGTGGAGCGGGTTGCACACCGCAACAATAGTAATTATGGAGCGGGTTGCACGCCGCAACAACTATTGAGGCTATGTGTTTGTATTGAGTATTGATTCCTTGTTCATTGTGAACCTAAGCTGTTTTAGTTGTTACTCTGGATTGCTGTTAATATTGTATCTCCCCTTAGCATGTTTCCCCTCCCATGTCGTTAATTACTTGGTATTCGATTTCCGCTGTATATTTATAACTGCACAGGTTTATGTGATGTCCAGTCTAGCCTCG